GGCTCTGCGGGCTATGGGGGCTCACGGCCTGTGAGCGGCCGCCTGCATCATTCCGAAGATGGGTACAGGGTGAGGTTGGACCAATAGGTGGCATGGTGGTTACAGTGCTGGACTTCCGTCCACATCGCCGCCTGTGGTCGGAGTCCTGGACTCAGCAGCTTGGAAATCATGCCAGGCACATGCGTGTGCATGCCCAAATCCTGAGAGAATGGAGGGGAAGGGATTGTGGTGTGGTCGTCCACGTCGGGAATGGTTTCTCACTTTTCCCCTCTGTCTCCAGTGAGCACACACACCTTATGACAAAAACTTAAAAATAAAAATAGATCCAGTGAGCACACACACCTTATGGCAAAAACTTAAAAATAAAAATAGAAAAAAGGAAGAAAAGCCAAAGGCAGTCATGGGGTGGGGATGAAATGGTTCAAAGCTGGCGTCAGAAAGAGCAGGGCCAGGCCGAGGTGTCTGCAGACTCCAGCCCCTTCCCTGGCCTCCTGAGACTGGCCATGCACACACTCGCTGCGTGCAGCCTCCCATGTGTACGGCAGCCCAGAGCTAGGATAAACGGGCTCTCCATGCTTCCATTCTATTACTCTTGCCTACCAGCAGTGGGAAGGAGATGTCTAGTCTTACTCCTCTGAAGAACCTCATCTGGCTCGACTCAGCCCACCCCTGCATGCAGAGGGAAGATGGAGAGCTGTCCTCACTGGGTTTGTGCACAGTTGTCCCTTCCCCCTTGCTGAGCTACCGGCCTTAGGAACAGGCTCATGGTAACATCACTGCAGGGGCCGGAAGACAGGCCGTGCGGTGGTAAAGGAGGATGCAGGACCCCGGGGCTGTCTCTACCTGGAAGTCCTGTGGCTTGTTGGACAGCATCCGCCGGCTGTTCTTCCCCTTGGTGAGCCTCCGTGCCAGCTGAGCCTCTGACACTGTCCCCACCGGCCCCCTGGTCCCAGGGCTCCGGACGGTTCCATCCAGTCTGTCTTCCTCACCTCCATCTTCTTCCTCTTCTCCTGTAATACCCAGAGGGGGTGCATTAGAGATGGGCCTTACCCTGCAAGTGTCAGAACACCTGGGTTTCTGTGACAGAGTTTTGCTTGCCATGTTGCTTTCAGTGACCCTGAGGTGGCAGGTGAAGGAGTGCTCTTGGTGACACTGACTTGCAACTCAGGTACAGTTTCTTTAGGCAGATGTGTTCATGACCTATCAGGGCACTCACGCTGTCTTCAAAGAGACCAAGAGAACACCAGAGACCACAGGGATGGTGGAAGGACTAGCCGGGAATCACTGGGACCCGGCCTACGGCCAGCAGGACTTTCTGCCATTAGGACAGAGAAGTGAAGAAATCCTGTGGCAAACCAGAGCCTTGGAGAGAGACTGCTCTCCCTCCTCTGCAGGCCATCTCCCGAGACCTTCACTGGTGAGCTGTTGCACCTCTCCTTCTGGCTGAGCTTTCTAAAGTGCAGATACCAGCTCCAGCCTCATGGTGGGTGGGAAGCCCACCTTGTTATCTATCTTGCCAAGCAGACCAAGGGGGTCTTCTTGCTCTCCCCTGGGTCTCCTGGTTTGTCATTGCAACACACAGCTGTCCCCTCGCTTATCTGCTGAGCTTCCCCTCACACACAGGCAAGACATTGTCCCTGCTTCGCAGAGAGTGACCCCCCAGCCCACAACATCGGTGAAGAAATCCTGTGGCAAACCAGAGCCTTGGAGAGAGACTGCTCTCCCTCCTCTGCAGGCCATCTCCCGAGACCTTCACTGGTGAGCTGTTGCACCTCTCCTTCTGGCTGAGCTTTCTAAAGTGCAGATACCAGCTCCAGCCTCATGGTGGGTGGGAAGCCCACCTTGTTATCTATCTTGCCAAGCAGACCAAGGGGGTCTTCTTGCTCTCCCCTGGGTCTCCTGGTTTGTCATTGCAACACACAGCTGTCCCCTTGCTTATCTGCTGAGCTTCCCCTCACACACAGGCAAGACATTGTCCCTGCTTCGCAGAGAGAGTGACCCCCCAGCCCACAACATCGGCATTACTTAGATCCCACTTCCTCCAGATTCCAAACATCCGGTCTCTCTCAAGTACCTCCCGTGGTTCCTTCTCCACGGGGGCCTTCCCTCTGCTTTCAAGTATACTCAGAACTTTCTCTCCTTAAAAAACACAACCAGAATCAACTCTGCCTACTGCCTCTCTTCTTTTCTTTACTCACAAACTCTTTGAAATGCATTAACATACATTATCTTTTCTTTTTTCTTTTTTCTTTGGCTCTAGGTGCGTATGCTCACCGGAGAAACACAGAGAGAGGGGGATAACAGAGACAGAGACACAGGCAAAGTGAAAAATTTCCCCTCAGGGGGATGGCCATGCCGCAATACTTTCTCCACCATTCTCCTCTCAGGATTTCAGGCATGTATGCCCATGCACCCGGCATGTTTTTCAAGTTGCCAGGTCTGAGAGTCAAACCACCTAGTTGGCCACATGGGATCCAGCTGCCTTAACCACTGTGCCATTGGCTGGCCCAACTTTTCTTTTTTTTTAATAGACAAACTTTTTGAACTCCTGGTAATTTCTACAATATAACTTAAGAGAGCCTAGAAGATTAACTACCTTGTCCAGGAAAAAAAAAAAAAAAAGTCCACATTGGTGCTTCTACTTTGAGATTCTGAAACTCCTCCTTTCCAAGGCAAAACCATGCAAGAGATTTAATATCCACAAGGAGTCACCTGTCAGCCATTCACATCCTGGCATGAATTAGCTCGATCAGATTGCCATGTAGTACGTACTTTAAAACTTGGACTCTGGGGCCATGCTGCCTGGGTTCGAACCCCAGTTTAAAGTCATGTGAGTCTAAACAAGCTTCCTATTTCCCCTAAGCTTCAGTTTCTTCATTTGTATAAAGGGGGAAATAATAGTATCTACCATAGGCCACTGTAAAGTTGCATTAATCAGAATGTAAGCCTTTAACATATATGTGCCTGTGACAGAGAAGCACCCAATAAATGAACTTTTGAGTTTTTTCTCTATTATTTTTCAAAAAATTATTTAATTTTATTATTATTATATATATTTTTTAAATTTGCTATTTGGCACACATGTGAGGGAGGGAGAGAGAGAGAAAGAAAGTCGTCAGGCCCGGGTCTCAGACTGCAGTCGGCCATGAGTCCAGCGCCTCAGCCAGCACCTTATCTGCTGACCCTGAACTTTTCTTATTTTTAATTTCACTGATTCATCAGTTTTGGCTAGTGTCTTTGTCTGTCTGGGCTGCTATAACAAAATACAATAAGCTGGGTAGCTTATCAACAAGAGAAATTTATTTCCCACAGTTTTTGAAGTTGGGAAGTTCAAGAGGGAGGCACCAACAGGTGTGATGCCTGGGAGGGCCTGTCTTCTGGTTTGTGGATGGTGCCTTCTCACTGTGTCCTCACATGGAGGAAGGGGTGAACAAGCTCCCTGGTGCCTCTTTTCCAATGGTACTAATCCCACACAGGAGGGCTCTACGCTCATGACCCAGTCACCTCCCCAAAGGCCCCACCACCTGATACCATCACCTTGAGCATTTGCCAACATGCTATTTTTGGAGGGACTGAAACATTCAGACTACTCTTCTTGGAAGAAGAGTTTTTATGGAGCACAGAACACTTCCCAGGAAGCTGCGATGGATGAGGGATAGGACACCATGAAGGCAGAGGGCAGAGGAGGACAAAGAAGCAATCACAGGAAGAAAAAGGTCTCCCTAAATGTACTGCTTCACAATTTAACCCAGGGTGAATCTTCCTCCAACTCACTCATTTGTTCATGCTTAGCCCACCCTAGCTTAGCTCTGTACTTCGAAGGTCAGTCATGAGTTCTTCCTGCTAAGCTTAGTGCTCATTTCTGAATCCTTGCGGTTGATCTTCCCTGGCATTGTCCGGGGGGAAATGATATTACAGCATGAATTTTAATCCCTCTATGGGTTACCCTCATGATGTAGTCTGCAGCTACATGTCTAGATTCCTCGTTGATCAATGAAGCCCCTGGCACTCCTACCCTACACCTCCACTTCCTTCCCCCTTCCACTCAGAACCTCCACCTTCTGTAGGTTTACACTGCAACACTTTGATTCTGGATTTCTCCGGATCATTGCAGCTCTGCTCCCACTGCCCTGCCTGAACCTGCTCGTGTCCTTCCCTGGTCCCCTCCGATCTGCTTTCTCCTCGAGTGTGACCCCCTCGCTCCTCTACCTTCTGCTCCTTTGACTCAACACTTGTGGCTCCACACCTCACATTCCCTTCAAGAAGACACACACCTACAGAATGTTATGCTAGAAGGGACCTTAAGAGAGGGGCAGAAAACTAAGCCCTTCTGAGATGGCTTGAGCTGTGAAATACTGCTTCCAGGGACTGAAAATAAAGATTTTTCTGCTGGGACTTCATCCTCCAGATTCATTTCTAGAGAGGGAGGGCAACTTCTGGTGAAAACTGGAATAGAAGAGAGACTGCAGATCACCTCCTCCTGCACACCTGAACACTCAGATTGAACTTCAAGAAGTAGAAAGGAATGCACAACCCATCAAATGACCAGAAATTACCACAGGGTCACAAGAAATATGAGAAAGCAAGAAAATACCTCTCTCCCAAGGGAAAAGAATAACCTCTTCCTCATCCTCAGACAGTACAATGGAACTCACAGAAATATCACATGAAGAATTTAGAATATTCATAGTAACAAAGTGACAGAGATGCAAGAGAGGAGAGACAATGAACTCCAGAAAATTCAGGAGAAAAAAGACGACGAATTCCAGGAGGTGAGGGATTTCTTGAGGAAAGAGGAAATACCATAAAAGAGAACTGAATGGAGCTGTTAGAGATGAAGGCTGTAATACAATAAATCAAAACCTCCCTTGAAAGTATTAAAAGTAGCCTAGAGAGGGACCAGCAGTTAGCGTAATGGCTATGTTGCTGGACTCCCACATAGTCGACCGCGGTTTGCGTCCCAGACTCGGTGGCTTAAAACTCACACCGGGCACGTGTGCGTGCGTGCCCAAGTTCCCGAGAGGAGAATGGAGGAGAAGGGATTGCGGCATGGCCATCTCTCCTGGGGGGTGATTTCTCACTTTCTGTCTCTCTGACTCTCTCTCTGTCTGTCTGGCGAGCGCATGCGCCCTATAGCAAAAAACCTCTAAAAAATAAAAGGAGACTAGATCATACAGAAGATTGAATCTCAGATGTAGAAGACAGAATCACTGGTCTAGAAAAATCCACTACAAAGACTGAGAAAATACACCCCCACCCTAAATGAGAATAATATACGAGAAATACTATATACCATTAAACGCCCAAACATCTGAATAATGGGTATCCTAGAAGGCGAAGAGACTAATAAGGGCATTGATAATCTATTCCATAAAATCCTGGAAGAAAACTTTACTTTCCAAACCTAGAGAGGCACTCAAAGATCCAGTCCCAGGAAATACAAAGGACCCCAAATAGAATCAATCCAAGAAGATCTTCTCCAAGACACATTATAGCCAGATTGATCAAAACCACAGACAAAGACAAGATACTAAGATTGGCAAGTGAGAAATGTCAAGTTACCTACAAAGGATATCCCATCAGGCTAACAGCAGACCTCTCATTGAAAATAAAGCAAGCAAAAAAAGAATGGGAAAATATATTCAAAGTGTTAAGGAAAACCAGTTTCAACCAAGAATACTGTACCCAGCAAGATTATCCTTCATATGGGAAGAAAAGACAAGAACATTCTCAGATAAACAAAGCCTGAAAGAACTTACCAACACCAGATCAGCTGTCCAAGAAGTTCTGAAGGGAGTGCTATACCAGGAAAACCAAATACAGACACACAGAAATAAGAGTTCAAAAGCATCTAAGAAAATGGCCAACTTAATGGTAGGGACGAGTCTGGAGTTGAATGCTATCTTCCAGAATTCAAACGAGAAGACTGGACCACAACAGAAAATAAAGTACATGAGACTGAACTGGTGAAAAAGAATCTTACACCTTTTGACTAAAACATTACTGATTTTCTTCTATGCTTTGTTTTCCAGATTCAAGGATTTTTTTCTTGTCTTGAGCTGCCGTTAAGTTCATATACTTGCTATTTGAACAGAATCCTAACCTGTTCCCTGGCTTTAAGTTCTAAGAAAAATTCTCTTAGCATTTTTAAAATTTTGATTTATTAAAACTAAAACTGCTTTTCTTGAAATTAAAAAATATATTTAAAAAATACCTATTTTATGACTACAGTGACCTATATAGTATCAGCTGGGTGCTACGTTATAGTGTACTCATTCTACTCAGAGGTTCATGCCTAAAGTCAGACATGTGTTCACAGATATGTACATACCAGCTGAATCTGCTATTGAAAGTGGTGAGATTAATTAAGATACTTTGTGAATCAAAAAGATGTGGGGCGAATAAAGGAATGGAAAGCAACTGTAGATATCAGAGACAGTCTGGGAGGAAGGTGGGAAATGGCAGAGGGCAAGAAATACAGGGAAAAATATGTATATGAAACAAGACATGGAAAAATATTTGTTGATGATAACAAAGCATGATTAAGCCACTATACAGTGTATTCTGGATGGGAAATCACATTTTGTGTGCTGGGATGATGCTTAACAAATGAATAAATTAATAATAAATAAATTTTAAAAAGAGGGCTGCCTGCTGCCTCACAGGGCCCTAGGTCTGAGCTCCCAGAATGCCCTTCCTCCTATTCTCCATCAGGTGAGTTCTTCTCCTTCAAGTTCTGGTGAGATGCACTGTCCTCTGGCAGGCTCCCCACTTCTCCCAGATGGGGTGAATTGCACCCCCTCCTGCTCTCCTCATAGTGCTCTTTCTAGTCCTCACCGTGTAGTCTTGCATCTATTTGTTACCTTGAAGGCCTCCCCCATTCCCAGACGCCTTCAGAAGCGGAGGGCTTGCTGCTTTCTCTTTCTCTCTCCCCTCATGGCCTACACACACCCTGCTAAGTGTGGAATGCGTACATGAACGAGGGGGCCGAGATCCTGACCCCTGCGTGTGCCTTTGGGAGCTCTTCAGCAATCTGGCAAAGCTACTGCACAGTTCTCGGGAAAGGGCCCCCGACGGCTAAGGGGGTGCTCCTCATAGCCTGGGCACCAGCCTCAGGGAAGCATTGGGGGTCAGGCTCTGCTCTGCAAACCTGTTCTGAACAGAGCAATGGTTGGGCAAGTAGCTTTCAGGTTCCTCCAAACAACCAAGACCAACTTCCTTTGATCATCTCAGGTCAAGTGGGACTTCCCGCTGTGGACTACTCCATTTTGGCTCAGTGGTTTAGGGTGGCTAGCAGGAGAGAAAATGGGGGTCAATCGATCCCTTTGGCACACTGGACTCCGGACAAGCACTTTTTAAGTGGATGCTCTCAGATCAGAATGCTGATAATGAAAAGCCCATTTCTTCTGGAAGCACCTTCTCCTGTTCCAACTTTAGGCTGAAGGGATGGAAACCAGCCTAAGCCACAGCAGCGGCCAGCATCCCTGCATGGCAGGAGAAGGTATTTGTGCAGGAAATCTCCCCTTGGTGTGGCAGGAAGTGAAGCAGGATCAAACAATGCTGCACTAAGTGTTCCACAAAGAAGGAAGCCCGAAGGCACCGACAAGCACACCCTTCTGTGCAAGTTGCCTCTTTACCAAGTCAGCGGTTGTGCCAACGTGCCCATCAGAGAAGCCCAGGCATGAACCTGATCCACAGCCAAGGGGCTCTACACAGAACGACTCTTTCCTGACCACAGAGGGCAGTGCGAAGTGGGGAACCACTGACTAGAAAGTTGCTGGTTGTATTCGTTTCCCACAGCTGTGGCAACAAAGTGCCCAAGTACTGCAAACTGGGCACAGTTCCAAGCCCTGGCAATCCAAAATCAAGGTGCTGGCAGGGGCCAGACGGTGGTACAGAGTAACAGAACTAGACTCCCCGGAAAGGTCCCTGGCTTGCTTCCAGGAGCTACCCTGTACATGCTGGGTGCACACACGTGCCTGTGATCCAGGCTGGCTGGGGCTCGGAGCGGACTCTATTGGACAGTACTCTCCTCTTTTTCTCTCTCTTCCCCTCCAAAAATATTGTGTGTATTTCTTTCTTCCTTCCTTTCTTTCTTTCTTTCTTTCTTTCTTTCTTTCTTTCTTTCTTTCTTTCAAGGGTGTTGGCTGGCCCAGCAGGTGTCATGATGGTTAAGGTGCTGGACTCCCACAGGGTCAACCATGGTTTGTATCCCAGACCTGACAGCATGAAACTCACACCAGGCACACATGTGTGTGTGCCCCAAATCCCAGGAGAATGGACAAAAAGGGATTGTAGTGTGGCCATCTCCCCTGGAGAGTGATTTCTCATTTTCCCTCTCACTGCCTGTCTCTGCTAAGCGCATACACCCTATGGCAAAAACCTTAAAAGGGGAGGGGGGCATTGACATTGAACATGCTCCTTCTAAAGCCTCTTAGGGAAGAATCCTTTCTGTCTCTTCTAGCCAGAGGCCCCTGGGACTCTTTAACGTACCTCGGCTTGTAGCCATACTACTTCAGTCTGTTCTCTGGTCACGTGGCCTTCTTCCTGCGTCTCTGTAAGCCCTCTTCTCTCTTGCCCAGCTTTTAGACTGGTTGGGTGGTGTCACAGTCAAGCACTCGGTGTTGGGAGCTGGATCCCACATAGCTGACTGGAGTCTGAATCTCAGCCCGAGTGGCCTGAAGACATGTCATATATATGTATATGTGTGCCCCGTGCCCGAGGGGCAGAAGAAAAGGAGGAACAGGGGTTGCAGCATGACCACTTCCCCTTGGAGGGTGACTTCTCTCTATACATTTTTCTCTCTTTCTATGGCAAGCACACATGCCATCTGACAAAAAAAAAGTAAAACAAAGAAAGCAAAAGCTAACCTAGCATTTGACTGCAGCTAGCACTGATCTGTCTCCTTCCTGAGTGAAGGCAACTCCCTATGTGAGCCACGCTTAGTTACAAGGGATGGTTTCCTTGGCCAGTCTGTGGCATGGGGTTAAGGTGGCTGGATCCCACTTGGCCTAGCAGCCCTAACACACTGGGCACGTCTGTGTGCGTGCCCAGAATCTTGAAAGAAGGGAGAGTTGGAGAAGTGATTGCGGTGTGACCATTCCCCCTGGGGGTGAGGGATGGTCTCACTTTCCCTCTCTGTCTCTCTCAAGTGAGCACACAGGTGCAATCCACATCTCCAGGGTTCTCAAAATGAGCTCCCAAATCTGCCTTCATCAGGGACTCCATCAGGGCTGGGGGGCTCCCCTTCGGAGAGCTGCATTAGGCCCTCTGAAGAGGGCTGCCAGAGAGATGCACGTGAGAGCGCTCACGCTAGGTAATCTGACTTTGTCTAGAACTGAAAACTACTTGTCTATATGAGCACTTTGATTTTTACTAAAGATCTTGAGAAAAAAACAAAAACCGACCTAATACTCTCAGTCTACTGGCCAGAGCCGCTTGATGAGAAGCCCAGTGCAGGAAATCGTGCCCACATCAATCTTCTAGCACATGGATCATTTCAGATCAGCTCTGACCAAGTCCACCCCTTGTTCAGAAAATGCTCCCTGGTTCTCCATGGTGTATCCTTCAAGGACAAATGTCTCAGCTCAGCACCTCGAGTCCTTAGGAACCTGATTCCCTTTCAGCTCACTTCTCATGAACCAGGCACTCCGGTCTATTCAACATGTTCTCCAAAGTGCCCTTCTTGAAAAAAAAAATTAAGCCATATCCACTGGCAACCCATCATCCCTCCATGCAACCAATCAAGCATTTACTGAACAATTTGGATTTTCCAAGCTGTGCTAAGCACTAAGAATATACAGTGGAACTACACAGCTGAAAAAGTACTTTCTCTAAGTTGTTTCCTGGGTAATCAACTGCTTAGGTCTCCCTGGGGGGTATTTATTACTTTCAGCTCTGAGCTGTAACTATTTATGTTTCTGTGTTACCTGCCTATCAAACTATAAGCTCCTTGGTGGCAAAACAATGCCTTTTCTCACCTCCTTATGCCTTGTGGGCAGGAATCAACAAGTGTTTTCTAAACTGGATCAAATTTTATTTCAAGCAAAGCAACTTCAGTGTTCACGGAATGAAATAAATTTAACCAGGGAAGTCTGGCTATGAATGAGTTTTTGCATTTCTCTAGTTGGACAAAACACAATTTTAACGGATTCTTCCGAAATAGATGTAAGAGTCTCAAAATAGTTCATTCGGCCACAGTAATGTAGGCTCCGGTGAGGCCGACTGACACCGGGAGAATCAAGTTGCCATGGTGTTGCCATGTTAGTCTTGAAGAGATTAAGCCTGTACTCAGGGTCAGCCCAGCCTTTCATGGGAACAGTTCTTAAGGTGGGCACTGAAAGGGACACCTGTGACACCACACACTTTCAGTCAAGCTACCAATACCCCAGTGTCTGCACCCTTCTCGATAGCAGAACTCCAAGAAGGCATTCTTTCAAAACAAACCCCTGTGGTGTTTAGCCCCTGGGATCTATGACCATAACCAGTTTCTTCACTTGCAGTGAATTTTCCTGAAAAATCCTCACTCGTATGCTCTGTCATTAATATTGGAAGCTCTCCTTTGCAGGAGTCACTATGTGGATGGTAACCTTGAAATCAGTGTCGTGAGTTGCTGACCATAGCTGTCTCAGGAGGACGAGACAGAGAGCTGTTCTATGTCTTATATTTCTGTGAGGGTGCCTTTTTTCCCCATGAAGCACATTCACTGGTGGTTTCTCAGAGAGGGGCTGTGTGCCCTTCCCCTCTCATTTGGCTTCTCATAGACAGCTGCCACCTCCCCACTCAGGCAGCTCCACCAGCCTTCTGGGCCCTGTCAGGTCAGGCAGAGAGCACAGGTGGTGTGACAACACGGCAGCCTTCCTCTAGAGGCTCCCCTGGGGTTGGGCTGGGCCTTCGTGGGGTCAGCTTACCTCCCATGCCTGGCACGCTGGTCGCACTTGGGTCATTTGGATGTGGAACTGAAGGTGGGTCATAGCCGACCACCAAGTCAATGGTAGCCTGTGGAGAAATAAGTCATTGCAGGTAGAATCAGCGCAGGCACCGGAATGTACAGACTCGATGCAGATTGA